TCTTTTTCTAGTTCTTTTTCTTATTTGCGGTCGAAGACGAGGAAAAAAGGACACCAAGCGATTGTCTCCCTCCTCGAGAAGCTCAAAGTTGTAATTGTGCTTTGAGAAGAATTAACAATGCACTTCTCGGTTATCGTAAATATGACCATTAAAAAAAAAAAAAAGAAAAAAAAAAAAAAACGGGGCAGGACGAAGTGAAAGCGGTCCTTGTGCGTTGCTGTTAGAAGGATATTAAAACCACGACCAACTTGAATGTGATTAGAGCATTTCTCTTTAAGAACAGTATGGTCTTTATTTTTTACTTCTCTTTTTTTTTTCTTTACCATTACAAAGTTGATTTTAAAAGCCGCTAGTATTTTTGTAGTCACACCTCTAGGACTGGCCTGACGTTGTCTGCATCCCCGTTGTATCCCTTTTCGTGCGTGAGCTTTTAGTGAGCCCTTCGAAGACGGTTAGTGTCTGCTTTTTCCCCATAGCAGGAGACAGCTTCTCTCGAGCACAAAGGTTTAATAATAAGAAAAATACAATGTACGGTAAACATTCCGGACTTGAGAAGGGAGCAAAACCCGTGAATTGGGCTTAGTTATCTGCCGTTCGCACAGCCCGTAACCGCAACGGACGTCTATGAAAAAGAAAAAAACAAAAAAACAATGGTGTGTGTTACTATCGGCTTGTGCTGCGACCATTTTTGAAGGGCATAAGGAAATGCTACGTACGAAAAGCATGCATTTACATTTAACGGAAGTTCAAATTCTTTTTTTAGGGCGTCCTGGTGTTTGATTTCGTAATAACATATATTCATATCTAATAAGTTTCATTACACATTTCACCGACGTCTTAAGCGAAGATCGACCTGTTCAGAACGAAGAGAAGATGAATGTATAAATTGTAAGGAGGGAAAGTACGCAGACGAGCTGGTTAGGGAACATCATTGAAAGAAAACCTGAGACTGGTGTTCATTTTTTTTATTATGCCAATCTCAGGTTTCCTTTCAATAATATAAACTGCATTTATTATTTAGTTTTTACGTGTGACTACCCTGTCTTAAAAAAAATTGTGTACCACCGGTTTGTGTAGTTAGACCTTACTCCATGTTTGACGCGTTGTATGACGATTTCTGCAGCTTCGCGATTCGGATAGCGTCAAAGCACCGGCTACAAAGACGCTCTGTTTTTTCTGCAAAGTAAAGAACATTCACATTGCTTTGCTGGAGAAGAACGATGCAGTGCATCGAGCATTCTCAGGGCACAATATAGCACTCCCATTCAGTACGCCTCAGTTGAAAAATTGTTCAACATGGTTGTCGACATCTTCACAAAGAAAGCATATGCAAAACGTCTGACGAGACTTTTGAGAGCCAGCTGTTACTCAAGATACTCAAAGTCAATAAAGTGTTACTGGTGGCAACAATAAAGGCTCGAATAACCCTCTTACTTTTTCTTTCTTACGCAAGGACAGGAATGTTGGAACTAAGGCTACATAAGTAACGGATCACTTTTTGGCATAACGGTCACTTACTCTTATGGAAAACAACGGTAGTTAATTACAATTTAGCGTCGAGTAATTCTAAATGTAATTCCTTACTTTTTTTAGTAACGTGTACATGTCTGATTGTTAGGGATTAGAAAAATGCGGCACCCTGAGCTTGAGATATTGCTGTCGGGAAGCTCAGGTGATGTTGTTTTGCTCCGTCATGGTCAACGGACTGTCTTAACACTTATGAAGGACTAAAACTTATATCATCCAATTTGGGAGAAAGCTTCAAATGACTGGGAACAATAATTTGAAGCACCAAAATGGCTTAAGTGTAGTTTTTCTGAAGTGTAGATTATATGAGTGACTCTATACTTCGCTCCAGCTTAGGTCAAGACGACGCAACCGACGCTACGAGCGAATGGGACTAATCAAGCAACCTCAAAAGTGCAAGTCACCAGGCAGTCTTTGTTTACAATCGGTTCAACGATTATAAAGCACGTACAGCAACATGACGAACACCCTGATAGTGAGCTTTTGACGCCGTCTGGTTGGTCCCCTCAGCTGGTGAAACGATGTACAGTATCACCCAAGAAAAGCGGGCTATGCCTTCACTCTTTCTTCGTGAAGAAAGGGGCGGTGGAGAAGGGGGGGAGGGTAATGACGAGCGTGCAACTCTTCCAATTTCCAGGCCGCGGTCCTACGGCTCACACGTCATACAAAAGAAGATCTGAGACCTGTTTATTTCTTGTACGTCATTCCTGTCGTATTGGTCGCACACAAACTGTCTGTGTCCGAAGATAAATCGGTCAATGGAGAGTTTTAGGGAACTGTTTTTCTACATCCGATACAATGCGATGGCCCTCCGGTACTAGGGAGTTCTAGGGAAACGTGTTTGCACATTCGATACGATACAATGGGCTCTCCGGTACAAGCTGCGCATGCGCTGCCGCAAAGACTGGCGCATGCGCAGTTCGTACCGGAAGGCCCATCGTACCGTATGGGATGTGCAAAAACGGTTCCCCAAAACTCTCTAATGTCGTGTCTCCAGAGAGCACCGTGTTTATTTGTATGACTCTATGTGGAGGGTTACAGGGGCTTTGGAGTGCAGGTAACACGACCGAGGACGTTGTTCAGAAAATATTAGCTGGAAGTACTGTCCCGCACTGTTCTTCACCTTGGTGCAGATCGTGGCGCAGCTGGCCGGGCTAATAAACCGTCGAGGATGTGCGACGCCAGTGATCTTGGGCTTGGTACAGTCTTCGCGCAGCTGCGATTGAACCTTTTCACGGAAAGAGGACAACAAGTGGCTGACGCACAAATTATGCGTGGTTGCGTCGAGTGAATGGGAAGATGGATGGTGCGGTCAAGCCCCTTTGATAGGACGGCGACTTACACGTCACCTCCGCGTGAACAAGCCCAAATTGCCTGCCGGCAGTCCCGTGGTGACGGAACAGGGTTGGGGGGGGGGGGGGGGTGTAGCCGGGGGGAGGACTGGGGGAAAATCTAGGCGAATAAAAGTTTAAAGCACACGATATGGAGTAAGGTGAATAAAAGTTTGCCTCCCTTCCCCCACCCTCCTTCTCCCCTCTCGCTTCCTCAATCTTGAATAGCTCCGAGGCCTCTGCGACTGTACGTTTTCGTTTCACCCTAATATCAAGCCTCTTCGCACTTTTGCTTGCAGCATGAAAGTTTTGCGATCGAAGCGCAGCAAGCGAGAACGAACGCTCCGCGCGTTGTTTGGTAGTGACACCGTATCTTATCTCGATTCTTTTGGGGTTGCAAAAGGCTCCTTTAAAATTCTTTCTAGCGGGATGGGCGTTCCCTTCCGAGGGGAAGTCGTCAGGCGTAATAACGTAGCGCTAAGCAGCTAGCTCAAGTTTGTACGTTATTACGTAGCACTAACTTGAATAGAAGCAAAATGGTAAGACACGAGGCGCGAAGGAGACAAGAAAGGTCGCACATTTCTCCACGGAGTTTGCGCGACCCCTTGCGCTTTCGTCCACCGACCGTAATTCTAGCTTTCGTCGCTGCTCGAGGAGAGCGCCCGTATGCTCAAAACTGTTCTTGAAAATGGTTCTCTCCCACAAATGACGTTAGGATCAAAGTGGCGAAGGACATCAATAACAAAACCTTTGAAACTAAACTACACTTCCTGGAAAAGGCCCGTTGAGCCTCCCATGACGCCATTTACGAACACGCGTGCCAAGCTCCCCTTTTTTTCTGTCAATTTTATGGTGAAGCGTAATACAAATGGGCTGTCACTTTAATTTGAAAACGCCCCCCCCCCCCGCGGAAGAAACAGCAGGTAACTTGAGTAGACCCCGAACTCGCTGTATTGCGAGAAATTGTTCTTCACTAACTGGTCTATGATTAAGCCAGGCGCGCTAATGTTTACACCTATTGTCCAACCTTTTAGATTGAAAGCGTGGCTAGGCCCAACCTCAGTTGTGAGTCAGATGCGCGAGTAAACACGGTGTTTAGTAAACGCATCTCACGTCGAGTTACAGCGCCACCGCAGGGCTCTCGCGATGAGGATCGGGCTGTCAGGCAACGGACCTCCGTCGTTGCGAACGTCCGTGTGTCAGATCCGAGCGACTATAAACCCCCTCGCTGACGTCTACTTTGTCAAAAAAGACGAATAAGTATGCTCAACTACATGAGTGATCACGGTTCAAGTCGTACTTAAATGCTCACGCTGTATCGGGCTATTTCAGAATACGCCCCCGCGTCGTCTCGAACATCCGAGTGCCAGAGTTTTGCGTCTACAGGCTGACACAAAATTTTTCGAAGGAGATGTCAAGCTACAGCCAACTGCACGGGCGGTCGCCGTTCAAGCACAGCGGAACGTCAACTCTCACTATACTGCCCCTCCTCAGGATGGAGCTGAGGCTTCAACTCGAGGCTGTCTGTTTTTGTGCCCAGTGTCAGGGTCTCCAACCGCGTCACCTTGTGCTTCCTTACTTTTTTCCACTATCCAAGTTTCGCGGGCACTTAAAAGGCCTTCACAACGAACTCCTTTAACGAACCGACAAACCCGCGCACGCCGATGGGCACGAACGAGTCAAGAAGACTACAGTCATTGGGAACTTAAGAATCGCAGGGAGTGCACGATTCCAAGGCATGTTATTATCTCTTCGCAACCAAAAACATTACAGCACTACTCGATACCAACGCGGAAGAACGAATTACAAAACAAGTCGCGTCAACGTAATAAGCCAGGCCCGGCACTTCTAAAGTTCTCGGCAACTATACCTTATCTGCCGATTCTTAAAAGCTAAAAAAGGCAAAAACGGCGCTCAAATAGGCGATTTACTCAATTGGGAAGAGATGTATACACACAAAGTGCTGCGTCCCTCGTCGATCTTAGCTCACCTTCGCGTTTGTTAGAGTTAAGTACCAACTAGTCCAGCTACCGCGCCTTGCTGCAGTTTCTCCTCAAGGAGTTTGTCCCGGAGACCTTTCACAGTTCCCGTGAAACTGGCCCAGGGTTTTCTGATGGAGACGAGAAGAAGCAGAGGACGTACCGGGAGTCATCCGAGCAGCGCCGCCGGCACGGGTGCACTGGGTAGCACCATCACCTCCCCACCACAAACGGAGAGCACAGTCACGGCAGTTCACGGACCGCGGGCAGCTGGAGAGTCTGTCGCTCGCCTGGTACTCCGGGAGCGTCAAACACACATCTGCAGCGCGCGAGTTGCGATCCACGTGTGACGGCGAGCGAAAAGCTAGCTGCTTCGGCGAGCAACGCGCTCGTCGGGCGCAGTCTTAAAGCGTCCACGTGACCTCGGCGCGCAGCTGTCGCGGGCAGAACGGGATCCCTGCCGCCAGAAGCTTCGGTGGCCCGACCGAACGCTGTACGGTCGCGCGCGGTTGTTGCGGCTCCGGGGCTCGAACACACCGCTCTGTGACGCGGAGGAGCGTGGGCTGTAACGAGCCTGGCTCGATCTTTGGCTGCGCGGAATTCGATGATCCGGGGCACGTATCGGGGATTTGCGCGTACAGAGCAAAATTGATAGCCCCAATCGCACTGGTCATACGTCAAACACAAGACGCGCTGTTCGCTGCAGACATAATGACAGAACTGTCTGCGGACACGTCAAGAGCATACTCAAAGCATGCTTGCTTCATACATTTGTATGCTATATGTTTCTAAGATGACAGTTCTTATATTACCAAGTGTGGCGGGACCGTCTATACAAGGAAGAAACGCGCCTCGCAAAGTGTCTCGTGACTGTCTTGTTGGATCTATTACCAACACTGAGGGCTTTCGGATCGGTTCAGATCCACCGAGCAAATAATAATACCATCAGATTTCGCGAGCGTCTTTCGCGCCGGGGCCTATAGATGCTTTACACACGTGCCAATTACAGCCGCCATGGCTGACCTTCTCTTGTCTTGCCGAGATACCGAGCCGCTGAAAAGGGCATTGCCGAGCCTCCACAGAGGCCAGTGCTGGGGCGAAGGACACAGTAGAATCTAACATGGCAAAAAGCCTTTCCTGCTATGGTAATGATGAAGTGAAATAAAGATAATAAAAGGGAACAAAAACTGAAGTTCGGTTATGGCGGCGCCCATGCATAGCTGCTGCAAAGCGTCAATATGGAGTGTGGAGGCAGTCGGTCAAATGCAAGACTCCAGCGCCGCAAACCAACTGCACGTGTTCGCGTGTGTCGCGAGTCGATACGCCACGAATCATCCACCGGTTACGAGCTTCCCTTTGATTCAGCGTAAAGCTTCTAAATTTCGTCGCAAGAAAAAACAGAACGAGAGGGAAATGAAGATTAACGAGACAACGTTCCGAAAAGACGCGGTGCCCCGTGCAGAAAGACGGACGTTGAACTTTAGCGTCGGCTGCGTCTCTCGTAATACATAAGTCTGCATCTCATACGATTTAATCGAGGATCCGAAGAGCGTAGTCTGATTTCCACATAGAGAAAAAAATTGCTATAACCCCCTTTCTTTTTTTTTCTTTTTTTCTTTACAAACGCTACCAAACGGTGCTTTAATCCTTGACGTCCCAACCAACTTCCGGCTCATAAAACATATTAACAAAGCTTGGGCCAGTAATATTTTTCTCGAATCCATGCAAGTGTTCTGCTATAGCCAGGTGCCCTGCAGTTGTATCGTCATGGCACCCTTAGAAGACTTCCGTGCGAAGACTCGCAGGAACAACCAGCAGCCACGTCGAGTTGGTGCCGCCAAAGTTTTCTTTGTGTGGTACACTTTCCCGAACAGCGACACTTGTCAGGGATCGTACGAAGACACGTGGAGCTGCACTTCCCCGTCCCTCTAGGTTCTCGACGAGTGCACGCAGCTTAGAATCGTCTCGTTGAATGGTCACCGCGCCGACAAAAACGTAGTCGTCGTCGTTGTCGTCGGGCGCTCAGACGCCAACTCGAATGATGCACTCGACAAACATTCGGCGTCTCTGTCTTTGCGGCCGGACTTGTAGACTAAACTTTCGTCGAATTTTTGAAGTCGAAGACTCTACCGTGCGAGAGGTCCTGAGGAATCCTTCAGGTTTGTGAGCCAACAAAGTGAGTGGTGGTCTGTAACCACTCGAAACGGGCTTCCGTAAAGGTAAGGGCGGAATTTCGTGATGGCACAGACGACGGCAAGACATTCCTTCTCGGTCGTAGAGTAATTTCGTTCCTCGCTCAACAATGTCCAACTAGCTCAGGCGATCACGTGCTTTGCACCCTCCTGTCATTGAACCGCTGCCGCGCCGAGTCCTGTATTGCTGGCGACCGTGAGAACTTCTTTTTCGGCTGATAGGTCGAAGTGGCGAAGAATTGGTGGCGACTGGAGTCGTCGCTTTAGCTCGTTGAATGCTCGTTGTGGTTCTTCTCCCCATTCGAACTTCACGGCGTCTTTCGTAAGGAGCGTCAGCGGCGCAGAAATGTTGTCGAAATTCCGAACGAAACGCTTCTAGTACGCGCAGAGTATCAGGAATCTTCGGGCGGACTTCCTGTCGGTAGACGGTGAAAATGCCGCTACGGCGCGAGTCTTCTCAAGGTCAGGACGAACACCTTCGTTGCTCACAACATGACCTAAGAACTTCAGTTTGCTGTAAGCGAACCGGTACTTCGTTGGCTTGAGGGCGAGTTCGGTGGTCTTGATTGCTTACAGTACGACCCGAAGGCGTCGCAAGTGTTCGTCGAAGTTGGCCGAGAATACTACAACGCCGTCGAGGTAAACGAGACAGTTCTGCCATTTGAGGCCTGACAGTACGGTGTCCATGGCACGCTGGAAATTTGCTGGCGCCATGCACACTCCGAAGTGCATCACCTTAAATTCGTACAGTCCATCGGTCGCGACGAAGACAGTCTTCTCTCGGTTCCGTTCGTCGACTTCGATCTGCCAGTAGCCACTCTTCAGGTCCATCGACAAAACATATCGGGAGTGGCACAGCTGGTCCAGTGTGCCGTCGATGCGGGGAAGCTGATACACGGCTTTTTTCGTCACCGCGTTCAGCTGCCGGTAATATACGCTGAGTCGAAGCGTTCCTTACTTCTTTTTCACCGGTACGACTGGAGAGGCACACGGGCTGCTTGACGGCTGGATGATACCGTCGTTAAGCATTTCTTGGACTTGTTTATGAGTGGCCTTTCTTTACTTTAGGGAGACCCGGTACGGCGGCCGAGACACAGGAAGCGCATCCTCGTTGGTAACGATGTGATGTTTCGTAACTGTTGTCTGGCGCACTTTCGATGTAATCGCAAAACAGTCAGTGAATTCGGCGAGGAGGTCTCTGAGCGGTCGAGGTTCCGTGGCACTGAGCTTGAAGTTAACGTCGAGCTGCGGTGGCGGTGTACTGCACGGCTGAGATGGCGAGGGTTCATCGGAGATCGCAGTGATCTCGGCGGCGTTCCTGAGTTCCTCGACGTGGCCTACAGCGGCACCTTTCGTGACGTGCAGCGCCTCCTGCCGAAAGTTTGTCACCAGGACCACAGTGCGTCCATCCTGCAGCTCTGTTACGCCAATGCAACGCATATATATGCCTCTTCCGAGAAGGAGTCGGACGTTGCCTTCCAGAAGAACTTCCCCGAACGCGTCTGCATCGGTCACGACGGGCACAAGAACACTCGACCGCGGCGGCAGGTTCGCATGGAGCGCAATGACTCGGGTGGCTGCTGGCGTCGTTTTGGATCCCTTCGGGGGTAAGACGGGCTTTTGAAGCGTCAACCTGTTCCCTCTAAGGTTGATCACGCCACCGTATTCGCACAGGAAGTCCATGCCAAGGATGACGTCTCTCGCACAGTCCTGATGGACGACGAACTTGGCTGGACAGGTCTCCCCATGAATTTCGACGCGATCATGTGCACGTTCTAACAGGCGTAATGAGTTGTCCACCGGCGGTGCGTACTTGCAGGCCATCCGAAGGCATCGTGACTTTCCGTAGTCGGCAAGAGAGCTTCCCACTCAAAACAAAGTGATCTGCTCGGGTGTCCACAAGTGCCGACGCGTCGTGGCTGCCGATGCCATTGTTGAGGTTGTTGGGGACCGTTGCAGAATCGTCGTTCCGATGCTTGTCGTCGCAAGATTGGGGGCCCTCCGACGTTCTTGGAGGATGTTTTCGACGGTCGTCTTCGGCAACTCCACCTCCAGGGGTTCATTGTCGCGCTTAGGTTTCCCGGCGAGGTAAGGGAGACAGACTCTCTTAGCGGGACCTACCAAGTGGCGATGCCGGATGTCGTAGTGATGGCGAACGGGATCACCGGGGGGAAACGGGTGCTGGTGACGGCGGGCGATACAGGTAGTCCTCGATGTCCCGCGGTCGTTCGCCTCTCCTCGGGCGGGGGGCGTTTGTTGCGAACCCACGAAGCCCAAGCTGCCGGTAGAGGCATGTACGGTACACGTAGCCGGCTTCCCTGCAGTGGTAGCACAGCGGGCGTCGGTCAGCTCAGCCGTGTGCCAGACGTCCGTCTTCTTCGGCGCCGGGGGTTCGGCTCGGACTTACGGAGCTTGTTCCTCAGTGCGCCGAGCGTAATGCGGCGTAGGGGCTTCCCGTCGACCGGGACGCCGGGTGTTGGTACTGGCGGGTTGCTGGCGGCGATCCTCCGCCCATGGCGGCGTAGCTCAGGGTCGGTCGCTCGAGCGGCGCAGGATTATTGATGGACAGTTTTAGACCATGGAAAGAAAAATTACCTTGAACGTTATTAGATAGAAAATCATTCAATCGTTTCCATATTGTTTTTCATTGCTTTTCACAACATGTTCCATATTGTGAAAAGAAAAAAAAATTAACTTTCGAATAAGTCGCCGCGCAGTCGAGGGGCGGTTAGCTGACGAAGATCGGCATGAATGGTTTGAAGCTCAACAACCGAGGAGCGGCGTTTCTGTCACCCAGTCCCACACACGGCACGCCACACACCGTGATCCATCCAGCTCCTCGTCTTACGATTGTATCGCAATGTTGCAGCAAACAAAGTGAAACACTGGAACCACTACATAACTACGCGGATTCGAAGCCAACGCACAGCTGTCGACAGAGAACGAATCCTGGCTTGTAATTGAGATTTTGAGTGGATCCACTCGATCTTGCAGCCGTTAGAGCACTTCCGATGGTTTCAAATACTCTTTCGTCTTTCAGCCACATCACAGAGAGAGAGAGAGAGAGAGAGAGAGAAAACCTTCATTTTCGCTCCGAGTCCGGAGCTCCACATCGCAGGAACAGAGCACGTTTTCAACAGAGGAGCACGCAAAGGGAGGAAGCGAGGAAATCGAGGATCATCGCGCGCCCTGCGCAACCAAAACAACGGCGGGAATTTTAATATACGCTGTTGGCAGTGCCGTCCGGCGCTCTCTCGGTCCTAACAAAACCGAAACAACAAAAACAAACCCTCGCAGTGTAGCGGAACAGTAAGTGCTTCGCTAGCGCTGGCCATCGGGGGTGACACAACGGACGCCGCCATCTTTAGTGGTATTGGG